ACTTTATCTTAAAACTAACTCATTCGTTCGAGATCAATCAAGACACTCTACTTACATAGACACTATTCGTGGATGGTTCCACCACCTCGGATGGAGGCAACACTAGACTCATCTTGAAAGGCTCGAATAGATAAAGTGTATAACCAAGCTCTTTGGTTTGGGTTCAAAACCTCCAACAATGAAGCCGAGTACGAGACACTTCTCTTAAGGCTTTAACTTGCTCAAAAGCTTCAAGTCTAGGATATGATAATGTTAAATGATTCATGACTAATCATGAATCAAGTAAACAAAAACTACTAGGCCTAAGATACAATCATGGTAAAGTATCATGTCGAGGTGCAGAATTTAACCCACAACTTCTCCCAATTTAACGTGTTGTAGGTTCCCCATGAAGAGAATGCTCAGGCCGATGTGCTAGCTAAATTAGCATCAGCTCGGGCTGCGAAGGATGGTTGACTACTAATTGAGATACCATCAACCCGAACTATAGACATGCACGATATAACTATGATTGGGAAAGAGCCAAGCTAAATGAACAAGATCCTATACTATAAAAAAAATTGAGACACTCTTGATAAATCTTCGCATCAGCCTAGCGAGTCAAGCTTCATCAAGCATGATATTGCAGATTTAACAATCACTTATATTGTAGGTCTTTTAGTTAATCATTCCTCATATTTAATATCTCGAGAAGTCAAGAGGGTATATATAAGGAGCACATTGGTGGATGAACCCTTACCTTCAAGGTACTTAGGCAAAAATTCTATTAGTCGATGTTGCACAAGGATATGATAATGTATGCCCAAACAAGTGTTGAGGTCATGTGGATACAACATCGACCGACAATCCCTTTAAATTTAATTGATTATGAATGGCCCTTCGTGCGGTGGGGTTTGGACATCCTTGGACCCTTTCTATTATTAACCTTTGGGCTAGCGAAGGTTTCTCATCATTCGAGTAGATTAGTTTATGAAGTGGGTGAAGGCTAGGCCACTAGCATTAATCGTTAAGAAGTAGGCCAAGAGATTCATATGGAATAACACTATCACTTGCCTCAGAGTCCCAAGAGTCATAATTAGTAATAATAGAAATTAATTTAACATCTAATGAGTTTTGTCAATCCTATGGAGTTTAGCTAAAGTTCAGGTCAGTAGCTCATCCTCATATTAACGGTTCTCACCGTAGTTCTCAACTAAGCCATTCTTGAAGGGTTAAAAAAGTGAGTCATTGGAGCAAAAGACACTTAGGTGGATGAACTACTAAGTATCTTATAGGCCTCCTAAACAACACTAAAGATTGGGTTGAGAGAGTTGTCATTTAACTTAAACTTCGATATTGAAGTTGTCTTACCACCTGAGATGATCTTTCTAACACCTTAAGTTAAGAATTTTGATAAGAAAGTCTTCAAGGGACTTTGGGCTGGGCTCGACCTAATTAGCGAGATTAAATTAGAAGCACACATGAGGGCACTAAGACACAAGAAAACGATAGCTAAGCTTTACAACCAAGGTGTTTGCCCATAGGGAGTTAAATTGAAATACTTGGTACTTCGAAGTGCTAAAGTCAATGACCTAACTAGATCCCGGGATGAGCTAATGCTAAATTGGGAAGGTCCCTATCGAGTTATCGAGGTCATCCAAGATGAAACCTATTGCCTTAAAATAACAAAGGGTATAGTGTTACCGAGGACTTGACACATTACTAACTTAAAGAAATTCTACCCCTGAGAATGTAAAAAGATCTATACCCTAAGGAGCTGAGCCAAGACCCATGTCGATCGACTAGTCCTCATCTATCTTCCTAATAGTCTCGAAAGAATAGAGTATATCTCTAATAGAAGCACTTGATCCATCTTCTTGTTAGATAGAAAGGAAAGTATATTATTTATAGAGCATGCAGACCGGGCAAGGCTGAACCCTCAATCCCTACCTTTATCAATGAGCTATAAATTCTCCTTCCAGCCTTTATTGTTGGAAGGGATACCACTAACCTTAAAGCACTCTCGAGCAACTATGTAATAGTTTTTTTTTTTTTTTATCTTGCATAGTCAAAAGCAAGCAGCAAAAAAATTGTAGGTCAGGATAATACTAGCATGACAACACTTTCTAGTGAACACTACCAAATAACATAATGAGTTGGGCACCATCTATGAGGACGATAACCTCCACTGTTAGAGATAAGACGCAATCATTAGATGAATGGGAAAGCAAAGTCCTACCTCTAGAGTGTTAGAAAACAAATAAAGGAATCTAAATATTGGATCATATGAATGGTGATTGGGCCGAGGGACTAGTAGCTCAAACTCAGTTGAAATATAATACCTGGTATGGATGCAGTCTAGGAGTTATGTGCTTATCATTGAGTCCCTATCATATGTGCCTTCTATGGATTCTAAATCCCAAATAATCATTGGGTTCACTGGGATCGACTCTCTTAATGAAGAAGAGGTCAAACTTCCTCAACTCCTAGGTTGTCTAAGGATGGAGTAACAACCTCTTTAACCATTCAGTGGCTATAAGATTATGAGGAGTTTATATGATAATGGAAAGATATCCCAGTCTGCAAAGGTGAAATAAATTCTTCAGGATCGAGATGCTGGATGGCCAAGGTACTGGAGAGTCGACGTGCATAAAGGATGAGACACCTGGGAACCGACCCGCCTTAAAAAGATGACCAAGAACCAACTCACCTTGAAGAAATGAGCCAAGGCTAAGAAGAAGAAGCTCTTAAGGAAGACCACAGCAGCTCAAATGAGAGAATGAGCCTCACTCCCATGGCTAAGGAGAATTTATAGGGAGGAGATCGATCTCTCTCTTTCCATATTGAAGATAAATGTCCCTTTGTTTTGAATATAAAGAGATGCTAATTGATGAAGGCGTATATTGAAAAGTATAAAGGTGATCGATGTGTGACGATCACCTTGGAAGAAACCCGTCACGACAAGAGTCATAAGACAAAATGTGTTTGAGGCATGTGAGCCGATGGAACCTGACCCATATAGGAAGAAACTCGTCAAGGTAAGAGGCATAAGGCAAAATGTACTCAGGACGTATGAGTTAACAAAACTTAACCTATATAAGAAGAATCTCACCATGGCTGGAGACATAAGGCAAAATGTACCCAAGACATATGAGTTGGCAAATCTCGACCTGTGTAGGAAGAAATCTATTATAGTGGGAGGCATATGACAAAATATACCTAAGGTGCGTGAGTCAAAAAATCCCAACCCATATAGGAAGAAACTTGTCACAGTATAAGGCACAAGGCAAAAAGTGTTTAAGATATGTGAGTCGACAAAACCTAACCTACATTGAAAAAAATCTACCATGATAGAGGCAAAGATAAAATGTGTTGGAGGTATATGAGTTGAAAAACTCAACTCGTGTAAAAAGAAACTCGTTACGATAGGAGACACAAGACAAAATGTGTCCGATGTGTGTGAGTTAGAAAAAAACTCATTATACCTGAAGAGAGTCCTTAAAGACACATGTCAGGTCGAAAAACCTCAACCCACCTAAAGTGAGACTTGCCCTAGATATAAAAGTCAGGAAAACCTGACTCCCTCAAGGCTAACCCAAGGTGGAGGGATCAAGTGCTGACCACAGTAGAGGGGTTGAGTGCCAACACCCTTTCCACCCTAGGTAGAAGGCTCGAGAGCCAATCCTTTTTCTATTCAAGATTGGTAAGTCGGGCACTGACCATGATAGAGGGGGCGAACGCTAACCTCCCCCTTTGATTAAAACAATTGAATAGGCCCGATTTTACCATGTCCCAAGTTTGACACACCACAATCTCAATTAAATCCAAAAGAAACACACCACATTCTTTATAACCAACAAACATTGACTGAGCAAAGACATTTCAAAGCTTATTATAAAAGAGCTCTTCACGTGCGTTATAGGAGAAAATATCTTTTTCTACTAAAATGCCTAACCGAATCCTTTGAATCCCACTTAAGTTACATAAAGATCTTATCCAAAATACTCTAATGTAATTTTATAGGTCTTGAAGTAGTTTAAAAGTGAACATAAATAAAACGATCATCAATATTTCAAGATAAAAGATGAAGAACCTCGATTGACTTTGAATAAGTGTCTAACTCGAATAATTAAATTTTAACTTCACACATAAGTAACTCTGTTTTGAATATTATTCTACGTATACTAATCTGATCTGTGCTGCAGGACAAATGTATAATAATGTCCATACGGAAGAACAATCAACACACATTCAAAGGGAAGGCAGCTGCTGCGAAGTTTCTCCCATCAACACCCGTCCTCATCGAACAATCACACGCGCTACATTGGAGACGAAGGAAAAGGAAGCGTCACTACGTGACATGAGGGTGGTGGGAATCACGGAATTACCTCCGGTGCTTCCTCGTCGTTCCCGGGAGAGTCTGTCCACGTGTCAGTTACAGATTGGTGTTGAACAAGTGTGAAGCCAGCTTCGCTCTTCACATGAGTCCCACTGTTTTTTTATGCCCACTGCCCCCTCACCCGTCTCACCCACGTGACGCGTCACGAGGAAATAATTGTCCATGCTAATATGATTTCAATTCATCTACGCAACATAATCCTATATATATATATATATATATATATATATGTATATAATGAGATCCGTGATATAATTCTGAGTCACTAGAGCTGCGTTCTCGATTCTAACACCATATCTTTGTTCACACCAGACATTTACCGGAGATCCATCTCGCTGTGGCGTGAGCCCCACAGTTAGGATCAAGGTTGAGAGAGTAAAGTTTGTGGGTTGTGGGAACGGAGGGGACACTAAAAGAGTCATGGAGAGGACCGGTCAATAAGTTGGGCGCGGATCCCCTCCAATTCTTACCTTGTGTCTGACTTCGATCAGAACCGTTCGTTGTCGGAGACAGTCGTCGGCTCGTGAATGAACGGTTACGATTATTAGACCGAATGGTTTTATTTAAATATATTGTTGGAGAGGATCCTCCTTTTGTCGACTTCTTCCTCCTTAAAGCGGAACACGAGACTGCCGTAAGCGATTCGTCTATGTTCCCCCTCTTCTCTTCTCTATCTGCTGCTGCTGCCGCTGCCGTTGACCGGCCGAATAGGCTGTAGGTATGGGTGTGGCGAAGGACTGCGTTGGTCGCAGTGGGGGAGTTGAAGCGGCCGTCGACGATCGCTGCTCTCCGGGGTCGGCGGCAGGGGCATGGCCGGGGAACTCCAACTGGTGGCCGCCGGGGTTCCGGTTCCACCCCACCGACGAGGAGATTGTCCTCTACTATCTCAAGCGCAAGATCTGCGGACGCCGCTTCAGGCTCGCCATGATCGGCGACGTCGACGTCTACAAGTGGGAGCCATGGGAACTCCCTGGTATGATTCGGCATCTCCCTTGGTTGTTGAGCCGCAGCTCCTCCTTGTTCTCTTCCTTCGCATTTGAATCTTGTGGTTGATCACTAGATACCGCTTCTCAGTTGTCCTCCTCTTGTTCTTGCCGGATTAACCTGGAATCCTGAACGCAAATTTTCACCCATTTCAATTGATCTAATTCGTTTAGACAGTTCATTGGATTCTAATCTTGTTATCTCTGCTATTATGTGAAGGTGCTCAATTTTGTGCAGCTTAGGTTCTCTCCTTGGTTGATTGATTGCCTAAACATCTGAAGTCAAAACAATATAGATTGCTTCAACTTCACCTCCAAATCAAACAAGAATTGCTACGTTAGAACACTCTAAAGTTGTCGCCTTTTAGCGTTTTATTCCCTCTTTCTTTGCTGACTCAAATTTACAACTGTGGCTTCTCGTGGTATCTGCAGACAAATCAGAGTTGAAGAGTGGCGATAAGCAGTGGTATTTCTTCAGCCCGAGGGATAGGAAGTATCCAAATGGGTCGAGATCGAATCGGGCCACCAAATGTGGCTACTGGAAGACTACCGGAAAGGACCGGACCATCTCTCAGAACTCCAAGGCTATGGGGAACAAGAAAACACTTGTCTACTACCATGGACGCGCGCCCAAGGGAGAACGCACCAACTGGGTGATGCATGAGTACACCTTGGATGAGCAGGTGTTTTTAAGCTGCAACAATGTGCAGGCAAGTCATCGCTGGAAAGGATCAACTCTGATTATAGCATCCAACACATCTATATCTTCTCTTTGTTTCATAGTTTTGATGGTTCTCCATCTTTTTTTATCAATTTTTCATCATTATCTCTCATCCTTTGCAGGATTGCTATGCTCTCTACAAGGTGTTCAGGAAGAGTGGTCCTGGTCCTAAGAATGGGGAGCAGTATGGAGCACCCTTCAGGGAAGAGGAGTGGGATGATGATGTAGTGGATGAGATCTTCAGGAGCCAGGATAACAGTGAATTACCAACGAATCCGTGGAACACTGAAGTACCAACAATCGAGCCTCTCCATGATCTGGTCTCTGCTGGCACATCATGCGATGCTGGGAGCAATCAACTAGTGGATGAGTTAGAGGATATTTTGCTAGAATTGTCTAATGAGCAGAACATGGTTGGCCAGTATTCAGAACATTCCGCATATGTTTCAGAGGTATTGCTGTATTCCATGCTTTGTTGCTCATTTCATTCTAATTCCACAATCTGGTTTGCAGTAACAATTTTAGATTACTGATGTCCAAATGTGAAAACAAATGTAGCAACATCAATACACATGGACCCAACACAAGAGTTGACAAGCATACACATTATTCACTCACACGTCTCGTGCTCCACGCATACTGCAAGCATGTAGACATGCAACACACGCACAGTTGCATAGAGTGTCATTCCTTAACTCATTTGGAACTGTAAATAAATGAAATATAAGAGCACATTCCTGATCCATCTTTCCTTAGATCCTCTATCCTCAAGCAAAGAATGCAACGAAAGTTGGCTGACTTTTATTGGCTTGTCTCTTTGGTGCAGGTTAATGTTGAAACAGAAATTGGAAAGCACAATTTTTGCCCATCCTTAACGAAAGCTACTTCTTTTGAGAACAGTGGCATTTGTTATGAGCTGAGCACTTCAGACACAAAGTTTCAAGTCACACAACCAGATTCTGCTTGTGTTCAGCCTGTTGAAGATCCTGAGATGACTTCATTAACCTCTAACACCCAACAGATTCTAGGGCAGGCAGATGAGGAGTTTTTAGAAATCAAAGATTTCAATGACCCAGAATCCATCATGTGGAGTTGGAACGATTTGAATAACAGGGACCAGATCGATGGCCCTAACGAGTTATATGATTCTTATGACTATTTTGATGCCCCTGTGGCTTTCTCTGATGATTTTGACTCTCTGGGCCTTGCAGCACCAATTTCATACCTTGATGGTTTTGGTGGTGATGAAGCACTAGATGAGTCATACCACGTATCAACTGAACTTTGGGGACATAATCAGGGTTTCGGTGCCTCAAATGCGGACCCAAACCAGGTCTTCATGACATCACCAGCTTCAGGTGCTTAAAAATCTTGCATTTGCATGATCCAGTATACATTCCTTACAAATCATTCAGCCACACAGATTTTGCTTGTGCTAGTTCTCATTTTTCGCTACTTCATACATAGGTGCTGCATATGCTTCTACATCATCCAATATGGAGATGGTCCAACGGCAAAACAGCACCTCAGAATCGTGGTTCAGTTCTGCACTCTCAACCTTGTTGGATTCAGTACCAAGCCGTCCTGCGCTGGCATCAGAGAATACCTTCATTAGCAGGGCATTTGAACGAGTATCGAGTTTTAGAGCAGGGCAGGTTGGAGTTCATGGTCCAAACGCCACCGCAGATGGGCACCATGCTACATCGGGAAGAAGGGGAGGCCGCAATGGGGGGATCCTTTTCATCTCATTCCTGGTGGGACTTGGTGCTGTGTTCTGGGTTTTGACTGCTGGAGCTGTAGTGAAAGTATTCAGTGCTTTTTTGGCCAGGTTCAATTCCTCCTGAATATGTAAAATTGACATGAACAAGAGTTCCTTGTTCATTATTCTGGTTTCAAGTATCCTAATTTTGTTGATATCAATCTTTGTATGTTTTCGAGTATGTACAATTGTAAAGGCTAGATACTATTGCAGCACTTACAATGGGATTCTTCTTCAGAGAGAACTTCCATTGAATTAACCTTGCAGCAAGTATTTTAATGTGAACTTGTGCTGTTGCAGATCAAGGAGAATGAAATAAACAAAGGACATCCTCTGTAGGTTGCTTGGCTTATTGGAAGGTTTATGGGCAGAATAGGAACTGAATCAATTGCACTGCAGTATGCAATCACCAAATCACCCATCACTCTGAAAACACAAGTACATCATAGTTTCCATAGCCAAAAATAGGTATCCTTTACAAGTTCTTTTACCATAGATCCCAACACACAATCACACTTACACCACATAAAAGAACAGTGGAGCCATTTGAACAAACAATTCAGTACTAATTTGACCCAACCATCTTCTGGGGCAGTCATTCACCTGATACTTCACAGATGCAGGGGTGGCTTAGGATGTGGCAGCTTTGTAAGATGGATTGAAAGGTACCTGTTCAGCACAATCCAGATTGTCTCCAGAGAATTGGTGCCCTACTCCCACAAGTCCAAGTAATACTGGTAGTGAGATATTATATTGTTCATGGAATCGATGTAGCCCTGGCCGCAAACCATATCACCATACAAAATGTTCGTGGTGAGCCCAAAGCCAGGTAACCTTTTCGATAAAGTGTCATTCAAAGCTTCCAGTTTCCGACAAAAACATCATGGGCTGAAGGCTGCTTCTTCTTCATCGGTGTCATCCACCTCCAGATGGCGGCTTGGAAAGCTAGGGTAGCATTCTGCTCTAGGTATTCTGGATGGTTCAGCAGATCTACCTTTAGAGCATCACCAATAAGTCCATAGGTGTAGTTCCTGGTAGTCATCGGTTAAGTTCATAAGCACTCAATTTACTTCAACCATCCTCACACCAATGCAAACTAGAAACACCATTCACATACCAGTACACAGGCAGGGCGCCACGTCCGTAGTATTCAACCCCTTCGACGCAAGGATAAAGGTAGTTTGGATCACAGTAGTCTTGGCTTGGGCTCATTTCATCGTTGTAGCATAATCCCCATGCAAGCAGACCACCGGTGACAACACCATACCCACCTGCAACACAGATGTTCAGCAGATATACATGTATGTGAAGAAATATGTGGACGGATAGGCAGCAACGACAATGATTACTAAACATTTGAGGAATCATGAGCCAGCATGCAGAAAAGAATAAGTTCAAATAGTCTTTATAGGTTTTTATACGACGAGTCCATGACAATCAGTCGCTACCCATCTGTTGTGGGAAACAACTTTGAGTCGTGACTCGGGGCCGACGCGGCTCGATTCGAGTCCGGACGACGGCGATCTCCCTGGGGCATTCCTCGAGCCCGCTGAGGCGATCGGGTGCGGTGTCCGATCGGGACGGTGTAGCCGTCTCCTCCGGGCAGGAACTCCTCGTCTGCGCGTCCGGAGGGGACCTTCGGCTCCGCCTCGGCCCGACCCCTCCGACAATCAAGTTAGCAGATGTGGAGGAGGTTTTAGATGAAGAAGTGTTTTTGTGTGTTTGTCTCTCCTTCCTCTTTCTAATGAACAAGAGGGTATTTATAAGGAAGCATACTGCTTCCTGAGCTGCCCGCTTGCAGGAGGCAGACTGGTAGCGTCTAACTTTGTGTTGACATGACGTGAATAATTGAGCTTTGGCAGGATGTTAATACACCTCGGTCGGCGTTCCGATCTGTATTGACCAGGTGCTGTTACGTGAGGCGTCATCTGACATCAGCCGAGTCTTATCATAATTACTATCCTCATCACCATCTTCGATATATGATTGTGCAGGCAAGGATCTGAACTTGATCAAATTGTTAGCATAAGCATCGAGTATCATTGATCCAATTTTTTGATTTCCCTTCTCTATGTGATGCAATTTCCATCGTCAATAAGAAGGTAAAAAGAGACAATTGGCAGCAATTTGATTAGATGCATGAACGAACGGAAGGGAGGGAGGGATTGGAGGGAGAAAGGGATGGGATTTCTTTTTGGCTTACAGGAGGTCTTGCTGCCGACGTGGCCGAGGAAGGCGGCGACCTCCTTCATCTTGGTCTACTTATCGCCGGTGGTGCCGAAGCCGAGGGGCTCGTAGAGGGCGGGTAGTCCCAGAAGCCGACGGCGTGGGCAACGGGGGCGTTGGGCTTGCTGAAGAGGTTCTCGAACCGATACACGTGCAAGTACTCGCTGACGGTCTCGTTGCAGCAGTAGACGCTGCCGCTGCACTCCCACCCTTGTCGCACGCCTTGGTCTTCGACTTGGACGCCTCCACCGCCGAGCCGGCCGCCACGATCACCACCAGAACGGTCCACCACGCCCTCATCTTCCCCATCGGATTCGCTCGCTGCTCCGTGACCGAGAGCGAGAGCGAGGGCGCGAGGGAGTGGAGATCTGATCCGGCAACTACGCGACGGTTGGGGTGAGCGGTAATATTCACAAGCGAAGTGGAACCAAAGGCCGTCTAAACGCGAGCCAGCGAGTGAGTGTGTGTTGGGTTGGCCAAGAAGGTGAATGAAGAAGATATAATAGTGGAGAGTCAAGTCATTTAAAATTTTCACCTCCTCCGATCAAAAAAACACCCAAAAAACCCCGGAAAACCCCTAAAAAGAGCACAGATGTCTCCCCGATCCAATATTCTTGTTCCCGTGTCTGTCAGTCAAAACCCTAAAAACCAGAGAAGGTTTGTAGTCGTCGTTGGGGAGGAAAGAGAGAGAAAAAACAAAAAAAAGAAGGTTATATCGGGTTCGCAAGATGGCGCAGGCTCTGACGCACCAGCAGGCGCCGAACGGGACGTTAGCAACGACGGAGGCGGCGTGGCCGGCTCCGGGGGAAACCAGTTCCCGTCCACGTCGCTGTACGTGGGGGACTTTCAGGCGAGCGTGACAGAAACGCAGGTGTACGATCTGTTCAGCCAAATCGGCCCGGTGGTGACCGTCCGGGTTTGCCGTGACCTCGGAACATGACGATCGCTTGGCCACGCTTACGCCAACTACAGCAACCCAGTCAACGGTGAGTCGGTTCGTTGTTTTTCTTCTTCTTCAAGTTCTTTGTGTGCCTTTTCCCGTAATTGGTTTTAGGAGTCCAATTTGATGTGTTTGGACTGCCCAATTATGTCAGTTTTGGAAACAATTAATTTGATGTATTTGAACTGCCCATTTATGTTAGTTTTGGAAACTAAGTATCATACTATTTTCGTTCTTTTCCGTTCTTGTTCGTTGGCTATGCCCAATTTTAAGGAGGATTCTTATCCTTGTTTGATTAAACTGATTGAAAAACGCCATTTGACGTTGGTCTCCTGTCAAGAAGCAAGCATATTTTTCCTACTAATCCAATTGAAGGAGTGGTGCCTTTGGTACATCAATAGAGTGAAAAAAAGGTTTTTTGTATGCTAGTGGCCCTTAAACTATCTTGATCTGTATGAAAAAAAAAAAATCAAAGTGAATAATATTCTTCTACTGTTCATATGAAACAAGGATTTCTGAATAAAGTGAAATAATGCATTCCTACAAAATACTCTGGGAACTATGCTACATATGCTTTTTAGCAAAATCTTTTGTGTTCAAGGAGGCATAAACTTGTTTAGCAGAACAAGCTTCTTTCACAAGCATGGGCTTCATGCTGGCTGCTAATTGCTAATCAAAACCATAAATACTATTCGGTTTATTTATGCCATCAAAATCTGGCTCCTTATTCACGGATTTTCGCAAGGAAGCATAATTCAGACTATAAACCTGAGTGACCATGTCTCAGTTCATTTTCCAAAACATATAAAATGGCGGTCGAGTCACACCTATGAAGTACTTGTTGCACTTATCTATACATTTATGCTGTTCGACCAATATGCATTTCAATTAGACAGAATCAATGACCAAGCAACAAAATTTACAAAAATGGAATCTTAGCTTGTTTCTTAGATCATGCTTTGAACAAGTGATATATTGATTAATGGGGAAGTAAAAGCCTGAAGAGCATTTGTTATAACCCCATGGTTTAAGGGTAATATAGTAGTTTTAAATTGGAACTTAGGAAAGGGTGGGATGTGTGATGGGTTCAGTTACTGAATACTGATGGCTTTTGGGGTGTGGAATGAGGAGAGAGTACTGTTCTTTGAGAATAATACAGAACTCATCTTTTTATTTGTCTGTCCTCACTCATCTAACAAATTTAGGAGGAAATATATTTGAGAGGAAGGAATGTGATGGGGGACCATGCATTGCCTTGAGGATTGTGGTAGGATTCTATTTTTTTTCTTTTCCATGTCAGAAACCTGGTAGTGATCTTTTCTAGAGATTTCCTTCCTTCTATCTCATTGTTTTCTATGATGTAGATGATTGTATTGAAATAAAAAGCGTTCCTTGTCATCCAAAAATGCTATTTTCGATGCTTAAATTATCATATGAAGCGTAATGATATCTATGGCAAATTTTCTATTATGATTGTGGCTCAATTTTCCAGTAGATGATTCGAATCTTTTTACTTGTATCCATGTGAGTGTAGTAGAAAATGCATGTCATTTGTTATTTACCAAATTCCCTAAGAAGGAAAAGGAAATAACAATGAGCGATAATATCTATGTATAAGAAAATGGTAGTTAATACTTCTAATCTGATTAACATGTTTCAATTGTGGTATATGTTCCTTGCACTTCATGTGCAATGGTTAACTAGGTTACTGGTAGAATCATGGTCATAAGGCATCACTATTGGAATTTCAGTGTCACCCCGATGCACTTAATATCTCATGCTCTAACTGATCCACTAACCAATCCTTGAAATGAACTTGGATATGAACCAGTTGGAAGTTAATCCACATTTGCATAGGTCTAGTGTGGACAAACAACTCAGAGGCATATCTTAGTTGAGGTTGCAATACCTTTTGGTGTTGTCATCTGCATAATCCAATGAATAGACAAAACAAGTGATAGCACAATCAAAATCACTACATCTTTTGCGTTCTTGTAACATATGCATGCACTATGCTTAACATCCTATGAGTAATTTCAGATGTCTCAAATGATGACTGCTCTACACATTCATAAGTGTACTGACTTCCAAGCCAATA